GGAGGCCGTTCACGGTAGAACAACTTATCAGAGGATGAGGCAGACGTCATTTCGAGTGGGTTCGTCCGGAGTACGTACCTAGGATGATCAAGAATAAATAAGGCTACTGACGCCTCGAAGACACGTGACCACGATTTGAGCGCAGGGTGCGATTAACGCCACTTTCCGAGCCACTTTAGCTGGCCCTCTTGTGGTACAAAAGAACAACGGTGACATCCGAAACACGAAAAATAATTGCAAAACAGCTGGTGCGGAATAAGAGTGACTATATAATCACGAGTCTAGAAAGTTAAAAGTGAGCCGGGAATGCTGATCGCACTAGATGCAACATCATGCTAAAATCCGATCGGGCTACATTGACACCCCGCGAAATCGAATTGTTCAATGAAGGCGGAAGATTGTGCGGGCCACAGATTACTCTGTCAAGATCCAGCCCGATGAAAAGATTAGAGGCTTCTAGGCTTAAGTAAAACAGATAGAGGACGACATTTTCAAAGGTTACTTAAGCAGCAGCAAAAAATTACTTTATTACGGGGTGGTGGTGGCTGAAAATTAAAGAAATGAAATAGAGACGATGGGCCGCCTACCAAATCTAAGCCATACAAAGAAAATTAATAAAATATCCCAGAACCTCGCATAGCGTCTGTCTGTCTGCAGATCCTGTTTTGCTTTATCCGTCTGGATTTCAGTCTAGTAAAAAAAACAATCAATTAGTTTAGAACTTCCGTTTTTCCTTGTGTTCCTTAAATAGCGCCGTCTTACTTTTTTTCATATTTAATTCTGCCTAAGCAAATTTTCTTCATAGTGAACGGAAGTGATTTTATTGCTATCTATTTATTTGGATTTGCGTCTACCCTGTTTTGACGCACCTGACTACAGTTCAGTTCAGCTCAGCTCAGTTTATTCAGGGGAATAGGCATATGTTTTTGAGTACCCTAATTATAACGTAAAAATGTGGGGTTTACAGAAAAATTTTCCAGGCTGAAATAGTTCAAACGAGCCCATAATTGTAGACAAAATGGGAACCAGTTACAGGGGGGTGAACTCTACTTCTCATCGCTCTTGGTCATTTCGCAACATAAATATGTCAAGATTCTTGCAGGAATGGCATTCCCTGGTTTGACTACTCGAACAGAGAAGGGGAACTTCCGCACATCCAGCCTTGCCGAGCAGTTTTAACGGTCGACCACGGAGGTTCGACGTGGTAGCAAATTCAAAAAGGTCCTCGAAGGCCAGGCTGCAATCCAACCCCTCAACAATGCGGAAGGCTTGCAAGAGATCCCCGCGAAGTTGTCTGTAACTGAAAGGTAAGAGTTTCAGATTTACTAGGCGGATTGCATAAGGAAAGGATCTCTGACCCCTAACCATCTTCGTGGCACTCCTCTGAACAGTTTTGAGGCAGTTTTGATCCTCAACCGTCCACGGTCTCCAGGCTTGTATGCTATACTTCAAATGCGGCCGGACGAATGTTCCGAATGTCTTTGAGAAAGCATCTTCGTCAAAATCCATAAATGCACGCTTGATGGCGTACAGTACGGACATTGCGCTTTTTGCTACTCTTGAACAATGGACGGATGGTTTTATGGAACTCGTCCTCAGCACACCGAGGTCATTTTTGGCTTCGACTACTTGTACCGCCCAGAACATAGTCTCTCGTGCTGGCGGATCTGGCTGTGTTGCCTAGGCAATGTGTGCTCATTTACCAACGTTGAACCGCAGGAACCACCGGTCTGACCAGTCTTCCAATTGTTTTTGGTTCACCTGCACTCTGTCTTCGTCGGCATAGTCCTGAATTACACTCCGTATCTTCATGTAATCGGCAAACGTTGCTACTTCGCAGTCTTAAGCTCTTGCGGCATCGTTCACGTGCATAAGGAACAAAATGGGTCACAGTACTGAACCCTGGAGGGCATCACTCTCAGCCATAGCAGGATCTGATTTCCATTGACCGATGCACACAACCTGGTGTCGACCCAAAAAGAAGTGTTCGATCCATTTATGGAAGTTGCCACCGTTGCCTATTTTTTAGATTATTTAAAAGCCTATGGTGTGGCACACTGTCGAACGCCTTCTGGAAGTCACTGAAGGCTATGTGGACCGCGTGCCTGTCGTCGAGAGCTCGGGTCCAGCTCTGGACGTGCAGAATCTTGCTTTCCGGAACCCATATTGGCATTTCGATAGCAGCCCGTGAGCTTCCAGTTCAATCTTTATGATCCTTTCCATAACTTTGCAGAGAATACATGTTAAGCTTATGGGCCTGTAGTTTGCCGTCGTATATGACTGAACTGAACTGAACTGAACTGAACTGAACTGGTCTCAATCAACCCACTCAGCGACTCATATATGTTTTGGCTGATTTTCAATAATTCATATTGGCCCACCTGTGAAAAACTCGGCGCCCCGGTGGGATTCGAACACACTCAGTAAGGGGAAGGCTTAAGTACAGCTAACGCTCTTACCACTTGAGTTACGAAGCCCCGCAGGACGACGCGAGTTTAATCACATTTAGGTCAAGTTATCCACCCAATCTACTGTAACGTCTGGAATCCACCAAATCTGATACGCTAAGTTGACAGCCCAAACAGGATTTCCTAAGTTATTCACCTAGAATCCACCAGATGACTACCAGGCTTACATAGTTCACAGTAGGGTCAATATGAATATGAACCACTTAGCGACCACAAACGACAGTATATTCGACTAACTTTGTATAAGTAGCTTCAATTCTTTGTTCATGAACCTCCATCAGAACCCTTTTACAAGTAACCACGCGGTAATTCATCGATGTCTTCCAGTTCGTATTTAAAAAGTGCGGATGGTGTAACGTAAATACCTTGATCATGCTAATGCTAACAAGGTATTGGCATTTGAGAACACAATCTGAGGTGTTGATAAATCCACTCGTTGTCAAACTTTTTACTTTTGTAACTGACCCTCACCCACTCACTTTCTCGACCTTCTGATTTGCTTGTCACCACCAACACCTTTCCCTTGAAAGTATTCAAAGACAGTCAAGTCAGCCCAGTATTCCCCAATCATTTGGGACTGGAAAAACACCGATCTGAATTATTGGGCCGTATAATTTGATTTCCCATGGCGCCTCCGCAGTTTCCTTCCTAGTAAGTAGATAGGCTCCATTCCTGTATTTCCGTGCCTCCTACGGGACAAATCTGGTTTAGAAGACACCGAGTACTCGAGATGCAGAGCAATATGGTCTTTCGACACTGCGGATTATCGGCCCTGTATGTTAAAATCGTTCTTCTCTTGAGTAGAAATAAGGCAGATCAGCAATTGTCTTACATGCTTTTAAAAAAAGTTATCAGAGGAAACTTTCTCAAATTATTTTAAAAATTTATATTGATAGGCCATTTGGCTGTTTGCCTCATTCAAGGGAAATCTAACATCAATTCGATTGACAATGGGGTTTTGGGGTCATTTCTAGGATTCATTTCGTTCCCGACGTACGTGTACTGTTGGATATGGTGCTGGAAATGAGAGACAGTAGGGTTTCCAGAAAGCAAGAAAAATCGGAATGTTCCTCGGCACCCTGCCGAAGAAGACAGACTACTGATTAAGCCCTAATCACCCGTAGCGGTTGTCACCTCATTGCCTCTTGCAGTTCCGCACCAGTAAATTTGCCATACTGCGTTTAGATAAGCCAGCCACGTCTGCCGACAGAAGGAAGCATTTCCACAAGAAACCGGCTTTAAAAAGTGCGAAAATCGAAAGGGTTTCTGTGTGCTGATAACCAATTCCCTAGAATCGTCCGCTCATTGCTCAAGGGCGGCAAACGGCGTAAGGCCCGTTTTGTGCGCTATTAAGCAGGCTTTCATGAATTTTGTTGGAGACCACTTCCCTAAGATTTTTCATACATTCGTGAGGCGGCACTTGGTGTGCAATAAACAAGCCCGAACACCATGGGCAATCAAGCCTAATAGAGGAAGCAATTAAAAGGCGGATAATTAAATTCTAAGCGAGGGAGGCTCATCGCCCAACGAACTAAAACCTCTCAACTATAAGTACTAGGCGAATAAAAGGAGATGTTTTACAAGCATTGCGAGTGGAGTAAATTGAACATCGGCATTTGACACCGCAGCCAAACTCCAAATTTCGTTATCAAAACTGCATGCAAAAGCTGGATATCAATTATTTGTTGAACACCTATATGGACATTTACAACGTAAGTGGGAATAAGTGAGCATGAGCAGTCGCTGAGCGGCTACTAGAGGGACTCGAAATTGAGCCTCAATGCAAAACACGGCCAGTGCACCACGAAAGCCAGTCGGTGAGCGCCACCAACCGTTGTTAATCAAGACCGTCTTATCCGACGCTCTCCAGCTAACGCTGGCAAAATAAAGAGGAGGCGGTGAGGAATGCAGACGAGTAAGTGTGGAAAAGAACCCGCAAAAGAACAATTGGGAGAGGATAAATGCACATCAAATGTGCGTTAGATATAACTACAATATTTTCTTGCTGACCCATGAAACCACCGGCGGGTTTGCCAAACAGAAGTGCTCTTCGCGAGACTTCTCAAATGGATCACAGTTTCCTCGTCGGCCGTTCCCAAATTGTCGGCGTAGAACAACAGCAATCAAGGTGCACATTCATAGAGAGTGTAGTCCTACAAGGCTCCGTGCTCGAACCAACCCTCTTTCTTTTGTCAGTCAGACAGTCAGTCAGTGTATTTGAGGGAAATAGGCTTACGCCTTTGAACTCCCTATTTGTACATAAAAAATCGATAAACAAGCAAAAATGTGAAGAAATTACAGCATTAAGTGAATGCATACATTGATTCACATATGTCACTAGTCACATGGCTAAAAAGTCGCATAGTCCGCTTGTTGCTGCAGCATATATCTGTCAAGGCGACATTTAAATGTCTCCACAGATTGAGACATAACAACCGTCTCGGGCAGGTTATTCCACGGTTCCACGACACGGTTGGAGAAGAAATATTTTCTCACATTCAGTCTACCCTGTGGCACACGTAGCTTGAAGGGATGTCCCCGGAGGTGAGTTGTGGTGGCGAGTTGGAAAAAGTCATCGCACCGAAGGACACAATCCAAGCCGCGCACGATACGGAAAGTTTGTATCATGTCTCCGCGCAACTGCCTATAACTCAGAGGATAGAGATTAAGGTTAGTTAAGCGGATCTCGTATGGCAGTGCACTTTGACCTCTTACTAATTTTGTGGCTCGCCTCTGCACCCTTTCGAGCAGATCGTAATCCTGGTGCGTCCACGGTCTCCAGGCCTGAATTGCATATTCGAGATGGGGCCTTATAAACGTGCCGAAGACTTTGGTGAAGCAGTCTTCATCGAAAACTACGAATGCCCGCTTGATGGCATATAGCATTGACGTTGCGGCCTTGGCCTCCTTACAGCATTGTGTAGAAGACTTTAGGCTGTCTGCAACCCAAGCTCCGAGATCTTTCTGAGTTTCTGCTTCTCGGAGTGGCATTCCGTTCAGATTGTATTGCCGCGTACTAGGGCTCTGATTTCCGAGGCGCATAATGGTGCATTTGTTCAAATTGAAGGACAAGAGCCATCTGCTGGACCACTCGTCCAACCAACAAAGATTTTCTTGGAAGTTGGTCTCATCGGCAGCATTCTGGATGACTTTCCAGATTTTTATGTCATCCGCAAACATGGCACAATCACAGTCCAACCCATCTACGCAATCATTGATGAACAAGAGAAAGAGAGTTGGTCCGAGCACCGAGCCTTGTGGGACCCCACTCTCTATGAATGTGCACCTTGATTGCTGTTGTTCTACGCAGACAATTTGGGAGCGGCCGACAAGGAAATTTTGTTCATCAATGATTGTGTCGATGGGTTGGACTGTGATTGTACGATATTTGCGGGCGACACAAAAATCTGAAAAGCCACTCAGAATGTTACCAATGCGATGAACTTTCAAGAAAACCTTTGTCGATTGGACGTGTGTGTGTGGCTCTTGTCCTTCACTTCGGAAATATGTACCATACCGCGCCTCGGAAATCAGACCCCTAGTACGCGGCAATACCATCCGAACGGAATGCCATTTCGAGAAGCAGAAACGCAGAAAGATCTCAGAGTCTGGGTTGCAGACAGCCTAAAGCTCTCTACGCAATCTTGTAAGGCGGCCAAGGCTGCAACTTAAATTCTTTATGCCATCAGGCGGACTTTCGCAGTTTTCGATGACGACTGCTTCACCAAAGTCTTCGGCACGTACGTAAGCAGAATTTACAGCAGGATTGAAATCTGACCGAAAGAGTGCAGAGGCGAGCAACAAAATTAATTAGAGTTCGAGGTATACTGCCATACGAGATCCGCCTAACTAACCTTAATCTCTATCCTCTGAGTTATAGGCAGTTGCGCGGTGATTTGATACAAACTTTCGGTATCGTTCGTGGCTTGGACTGCGTGCATCGGTGCGACGACTTTTTCCAACTCGCCACTACAACTAACATCCGGGGATATCCCTTCAGGCTACGTGTGCCCCAGGGAAGGTTGAATGTGAGAAAGTATTTCTTCTCCAACCGTGTCGTGGAACCGTGGAATAATCTGCCTGAGAAGATTTTCATGTCTCCATCTGTGGAGACATTTAAATGTCGGCTTGACAGATATATGCTGTAGTAACAAGCGGAGTATGTGAGTTTTAGCCATGAGACCAGCGACATATGTAAATCAATGTCTGCATGCACTTAAGGCTGTAATTTCTTCACATTTTGCTTATTTGTCGAATTTTTATGTACAAATATGTATTGACAGACTGATTGAATCCTCACAGTACGCTGAAAGTCGAAACGGAGCGGGGACATTTAAGATCACGAAGATCATCATTACAAAGGAAAACATCAGTGAATTCCGCAACCAAGTAACAACATGCAGCGTTGTTGGTGCAAGAAGTCACCGTCGGCAGCACGAGTAAAACATAGATAATCTCTAAATTTCTGGAGGACCCTGATAAAATTGCTCAATTTAAGTTTTTAGGAATGGAAAGGACAGCGCTGTAACTAGACTTTCTGAGTTAAGGTGCTAGCATTGTTTTGCTTGGAATACAAATGCGCTAGGCGCTGACCCAATTTCAAGTCAAAGGTTACCACAAAATAAAGTCCATTTCAAAGCGCAAAACAAACGTTTAGAAGTAGTGTACCGTCCTGCTTGTTTTGCGTTGGGTAGACGGGAGATAGCTTGAGTTAGTGTATAACTTCCCGTTCTTCGTCACATAACTCGACCCTTGGTTGTGCGTCCCTAAGGAGTCCGTCGTTCAAGCACTCGAGACCGGACACTTGGGATAGGTGATGAAGAGTAAATAAGAGCTGATGGGTAGAAACAGTCTGTTGGGCCGGACAATTATCTAGTCGGGTTATTATATTGGCTAACTAATGAATGTAGAAACATAGACGATAGCTGAAAGGTGGAAAAATAGATAGGTATTGCACTAATCGGATCGTCGATCGTTAGTTAGAGGTCCTCACGTGTTCAGCCGCTATGATCGATCTATAAGAACGTGGTCACCAATTAAAACAAGGGGGTTTGATTCTTTAGTTCGGCTGGGTTGTTACAGTAGACCAAAAAGGCGGTGCGATAAATCCAGGGGATTCATATAAGTCGTAAGACTGACCCACTGGAGTGAACATGGCAATAAGTGGAAGAATGGGATTAGGAGCAATATGAAACAAGAAGTTCTCCTTTCTTTCGGGGCGGCTAAACTATTGGGTGTCCTACTGCAAATGCTGTGGTATCATTGCTGACGTAATGATTTAAAAGGAACATTGAGAATTAGAACAAATGACTCGAAACTCATTTGAGAACTTTTACAAAGCCTATGATCCCATTTGATTCACTCCATCAAACATGCCTTGTATGTATATTATTCTGAATTCTGAGTTGTAAATTGGATGCTCAACAGCTCACACCAATTTCTTTGTCAGTATGTTCATCTAAACTGGAATGAATAGCAAAGGTCAGAGAACGGGGCCTTATTCTACGCTGATGACGGTTAATAATATCGACACAGACCCATCTAAGCTTGTGCGTTCTACCGGCCAAGGTATCCTTAGTCAAAGTCAGCGAAATCCTCATATCACAGGCTCTAGAATCTACTAAATAAACACCGTTATCGAACACGATTTTTGGTTTCATTGAAGTTGACGTAAATGACATTGATACCTGCGTTTTCTTCTGATTTAGGAAATTACTGGTCCGTTAAACACAAAGTTTCGATAAAAGGAATTACTCTTGCCAAAAATAATATTAGACACTGACAAAACTTTCTTTTTAGCTTGGTGACTGCCTGGTCGTTTTATTGGGAGGTCCTCCCCATAAATGTGCAATAAAGTATAGCCTGCTGATCACCAAGGAACAATGCAGTTCATATTCGACAGCATAAAATAAAAACTTAAGTTCACTTTGAAGGGATTTTTCATCACTGTAATCCAAGTGTATCAAAACCATAATTTTTTTCTAATTCTAAATACTTCTGCCTTACATTTTTGCTCGAGCCACTGAAAATTCAGGAAGTAGCTGATTGGTTGTTACTATTTAAATGCATGTGCAAACAACCATGACTGTGGACGAGGAAAACTTGCCGGCGTTTGGCGATTTGCAAATTAGCGAAAATCTGGAAGGCTGGGGCCCTTCAGAGATCCCAGATGGCTTCAAGGACATGCCTTTTCAGCCGTTCTCAAAGGATACCCGGCTCGGGAAGGTGGCAGACTGGTGTGGGACTATTTACCCCGATTCCAAATCGAAAAGTTTCTTTTCTCAGTGTAATACATGTTTTAGATCGCTATACGGTTCAGTATGGTGGTGGAGCGCAGTACGCTTATTATCATGATGAGGATGACAGCAGTTTCCAGCTTGCTACCAGCGGGAAAGATTCGAGATCTGGCTCATTTCGACCGCGTTACAGACTACCCTTCGTAAGTTAATCCTCTTGGATAACCGGTTTTGGTAGCCGTTGGCATGCTCTAGAAGGCTCTGATGTCCGTATATATTGCTCTTAGAGTTTAAAAACGGTTTGATATACCATACCTCCAGGCTTTCCAGTCACTTATGCCAGTGCATACGCTGACCAATAGCCAGTCTCACCCGTCGTATCCATTTACTTGGGAGACTGGTGCTTTCGTTAGCAAATTTACACTTTCTTAGATGTTTTTTTACGCAACGGAAACTTCTAGTGCTGCGCTTTGTTTAGCAAGGAGCCAGTACCCTTTCATCCAGTGAAGTAACCTTATGGTATATCAAAGTTCACAGAGGGCGGAGACATGAGTCGAGACTGGTTTTGGTCAACCTACTCCTCAAACGGATTTGACCAATGCCATGATCTCAGAAATCGAGTGTAGATGTGTACATTCCATGCACACAATCTGGTGAATGCATCCTCCTTGTTATATGCGTCCGGCACTGAAAGGTAAAAACACATGCAAATAGGCCTTTTTAAAATAATAACAATGTTACCAAAAACGTTAGTTGTTTATCATTCGCTTATTTCACAACCTGCGCTCAGTTGTACTGTCGCGCGTTTAGATCTCTTGACAGAAAACTGCTGTTATTGGCTTTTATGTGGCTATGTATTCCCAACACTTCGTATGCTCCCATAGAAGTCTAAGCATGGTGGACTGCAGGCAGGATCGGTTCGCAGGTAGTCAACAGTAATTCTCGCAGGTTTCACTCGACCGTTGATTCGGCACTCTACTTTTCCCTCGATCTATGACATTAACTCCGGTGAGAAACGTCTCACTGGGAATGCCTAACTTACTTCCTCTTATTCTCGCCTTACGGCCCATAGATTGTGCGTGCATTGTTTCGGGTCATAAGATCATAAATGGACAAGGTGTCGTCAACTTTGGAGTTTTCTTTGCCATAATCTTGGATGTACCTGTTGGACCCCCGAATAACTTATTCAGCTCACGCTCAAGTTTTTTTCAGTACGCCATCTCGATTGCACGTGGGGGCTCTCGTTAGTCCAACCATCTACAAGCTCTCCTTTATTGAGCACGTTAATAGCCTCCCCCAAAACTTAAGGTCGACTGAGGACTCGCCTAAAGTGCTAAACCAACCACTCCAAAATCCCTGATTCCTCCGACAGTAGGGTTGTTTCACACGGGTTGGGGACCGTAGGGTTCCACAATGCCTTCGAAGTTTTTATTTTCACCTCCCAGCCTCTGCTGCAGGTGCCGACAGTACTGGGCTATCTTCGCCTCATTTTGGTCTGTACTGCCCTTCATATACGTCATGTGGAATTCGGTTTTCGCAGACCAGTCATTTTCTTATGTCACCGAGCCAGGCCCTGCGCTACTGGCGTATGTTCGATGACTTCAGTGACATTGGTGTGGGTAACATTTCACTGCCCAACCCAGCTGTTCCCGAAGCCCTCATCCACCAGGGCTTTAATGTAATCTAGGCAGCTGCCACCTTTTTTGGCCCTTTTCATCTAATGAGAAGGTCCCTGTGGTTGGATTTTCAGCCTTTTTTCGAGACGAATATATTGTTATCAGCCGAGGATTTGACACTGCACATCGCCCTCGTCACGATCACGACATGATATATTTTCGTAAAGAGCACACAGTCAATCAGTTTTTTTTGATGTAGGCGAGGGTGCACCGTAGTTTTACGTATTTAAAGACGAAAGAAAATGCTGATGGCTAGAAGATCGCGTTTTTTACAGGTTTTCAGCAGTCCCTTGTCGTTGCAGTTGTCTATTTTGTGATGAACACCGAGTGGGGTGAAGTTTCTGCCTAATTCTTTGCTCTAAAATCCGCAAAATATTCAGTTTGTCCGCTTTCTGAACAGACACGTTTAAGGAACGGAAGTCTTCAAAGAACATATCCCTCAGGTGCTGATGACTTGCTATTATTAAAGTGCAGACGCTGATAGTGGCGAATTTCTTCTCATGCAGTGCAGACTGCATTGCGGAGTGGTAGTTTTCGATTCTTTGTGTTAGGTAAGATAGCATCCTGGCAGCGAAGACAGCATGTTTGCGTTTCTAGGTCAACCATTCTAGAAAGTGTGTCCTGAGCTGTCATTCATTCTGGTCAGTTGGTCATCGGACATTCCAAACTGCCAGAATGAAAGATGCTGACCTATATTGCTTTAGTTGTTGTGCTTCGACCGATTTTATGGCGTCGAGTAGTCTCAGGCAGCAAAATGTACGACCTAAACCGAAATTTTAGGGGACGAGTGGCATCATTTGCTTTTTTCATTCCGTACTTAAAAATGAATGCATCCGTAAGTAGGATGCAAAAAGACATCCAGGCAGGATGCCGACTTCTATTGTGGTTCACGGTCAGGCTTAACAATAAGACGACGGGATTCCATGACGCGTTCTCCATAAAACTGCCAGTTATGATGAGGGGTTTGGTTGTAATGTTGATCGGGTATTGAGGGTAACCTGTTCGAGACTCATCTTCTAACGAGGAGGACTTTTGGCTCCCATAGGGGATTGCGCGGCAGGTGCGCCGGTTCACGGCAGGGTTGCGCTGAGTCTGTACAGGCCGTACACGCATTTGGCTCTCAATAGACGTAGGCCTTCATCTCGCGTCAGCGATTAAATCCAATTTCCATCACCAGCTGGTTGACAGGCTCGGGCAGTCGCCTTATGTGTGGGAGTGGGGAGAGAGTGCGACCGACACCGGGAATCCATCCTCCTGTCGCATCAGTGCATCCTCTACTTTAATAACTTTGGAGCGTTTGAATCCGTCACAATGCGCTACCTGTCATGGCTTGGAAGATTGCTAATTAATGGCATAACTCGGTCGTCAGGACTGAGAGTTGGACTCGATGGCTCCTCTGTGTAACATTTATGACAATCTTACGCATATGAGATCGGAGCCGCCTTCTGTGAAATACCGGTATATGTAGTGACGCCCTGGTCGTTTGTGGGGGGCGCGTAGACGGGTCGTCTAACTCAGCCAGCCACTGCGTGCGAGCCCACCACCGGTCTTCTTGACACTGTCCTTCCACTGAAGTCAGGCGGATGAAGGAGGGAAGGGTGTTGTAAATACCATGTAAATTTGTTTCTTTATAAAATATTTCACGTGCAAGTCACCGATGCTGAACCCTCTCCATTGAGCACGCGGCGGGCGTCGTCGCTTACGACGGCCGAACCGTCGTGTAAGGAGGAGGACTTATGCAGCACCGTTCTCGCAAGTTCTACCGCTGTTCAGCAGCAAGACAGCTGGTGAGGATGCCGGATGCGGCGACTTGCACCGCCTGAGTTGTTTTTGCACACAAGGCGGCTGTTTCCTCCTTACCGGTTCGGGAAGGCAAAAAAGCCCTTAGTAAATCATGCCGGTCGAACAAGGTGGGCTGCTAACCAAACAGCCCGTGCTCCCCGTGGCGCATTGTAAACACGTCTTTTGTCCTTTCAACCCATTACTCATTTTCCTCCTAACTCCAGTCCCTTCGTTTCCGATCTAAGAGTCAACTGATTACACTGGTTCGTTTGCCTTAGTTTTAGCCCTTCCAAATATTTCCCTATCGGAATTTAGGATTTTCCACTTCGTATTCCAGATGCCCTGTCGTTGATCCACCTTGCTTATCATATTACCATTATCATTATTACCGACTAATAACCAGATATCATTCCCCTTGCCTCTTAATGCCACTCCTAGGCCACATTGTGTCTAAGGATAAATCTAGTAGGTGATCGAGTCCGGTCTTGAGCATTATTTTCAGTAACCCTGCCTTCTTATCACAGCGGATGCGTAGGGGTGGTCAATTCGGCCCAGGCTGGGGCCCTGGTGGTGGCCGTGGTGCTCCAGTCGGCGGCCAATTCGTGTCGCTGGGCAACTTCGGTGGTCGTCAGCGTCGCTATCCAATGAATGATCGTGATCGAATGGCCATGCAGAACCAACAGCGTCGTGGTGGTCAAGGATGGCAAGCCAACCGCCGTGGTGGTTGGTCTGGTGGTCCTGGCGGTAATTGGCGCCAAAACCCCAATGACTACAACCGGCGAATTAACCGACAACCCAAGACAGCCTCTGTCCAGGTTAAGGAAGATTGGACGCTTCTTGATGAACTCGAATTCAGCCGTTTGGCCGCCCTTTCTTTGCCTTCCGTAAAAGAGCCTGAAAATCTGTAAGTTCAATCCCTGATTCTTTAACTCGCCTTTCTGCCTCGTCCCATGGCAATTGTTTTGTCGTGTGCTACATTAGTGCTTTGTCTATCGTGATCTCTGATCTGTCATACTCTGTAAATCTGCTGGAGAACGGAAGCATCTGCAAACATAAATTCACACTAGACGATTGATGCAACGTTCTGCCGCAGTCTGTGATTTAGGCCGTAGTGCTTAAGAGTGCTTTCTCAAATCGCCTTTTCGGGGAAGAGGGGAGGGGGGTGGACGGTTCAGTTTCAGATCCTCCGCTTCTGTATTACTCACCGCCCCCTCCTCGCCATCTTCGCGCACAGAACACGTTCCAGGGCGACCAATAGTGGACATTGACTCCGGCCAAGTAGGCTGAAGCAAATTCTGCACGTTCGGACAGTTCGACCGTCGCGAACGACGATGTCCACCGTGTGCTGCACAGTGACGTCAGAGCAGGGACGGCGACCTGGTGCGTGGATAAGTTTATAGTGATAGTATCCTTGCGCAGCATCTACCGCGTAACACACCCGTGCTAGTCGTTAGCCTAAACCTTAATCTTAGTTATCCCGCCATCCATGGTCTTTTAAAAACGTGTTTAATTCTGTATGATTCGGGACTAAGCGCTTAATCTATGCTGAATCGGCCTTACTTACTCCCTCATTGCTATGTTCAGGCCGCTTATCCTTGTAAAACCGCCTGGAGATAGACTGAGCACAGGACTTAAAAAACCTCAGTCTAACTCTGTCCCCGCCCAAAGGACAACCGAGTCGAGTACCGTCTACGAGGGCGAATTTCCACTTGTTCCTGGTGCCCAAAGTATTGCCTCCAGACTGTTGACTAACTTCTGTGACAACCCTTTGGCATGAGGTTTCACGGGATGTCGCGGTCTTCAGGGTCGAGGTTGGCAATAATGTAGGGTTTTTCTTGCCAGTCGTTGTGAATGTTGTTACTGTGCTATCATGCAGTGCAAATGCCGCCAATTTATCTAAGACCTAGCTCATAGTTCGCTAAATATCCAATAACGATGCGAATCCCCCAACATTTTGAAGCACGCCAAGGAGGGTGAGACTGCAAGCTAAGAGACACTGAGTTCGAAGGGCACTTTCATTCCTCATCGCCTGCCGCTCTTTGTGAGAACCGGGGCTAACAGTGCAGGGCATTCCTTAAGGGACCTAGTGGACTTGCTCTGTGCGCAGGGCGCCTTGTGACAGGACACCAGTTTTCTGCATGATCAGCCTATCATAAGGTTTGCTTTGGCGAACTTTGCAGTCGTCTCCAACACCCTACGTGTAGAATCGATGGATATCAATATTAATATACTGGTCGAGTAGCCCTGGACTGTATGGCTGCTTGTAGGTTTTTACATCAGATCTGACACCAAGTCTTGCCATATCCTCTATTTCAGCATGGAATGCGGCTCGGTAAAATACTACGACAAGGCCTACGATGCCGTTACCACGCGCAGCGAGAAGCCTCTGGTCCGTTTCAGTGGTGTCGTCCACGCGGTCACAACCACGGAGGATCCCGTTATCCAAAAGCTTGCCCGTGAATCCAACGCCAACGTCTTCTGCACCGATAGAATGGCTCAGGCAATCATGTGTGCGCACAAGTCTGTGGACTCCTGGGACCTAATAGCCATTCGTATCTCCGACAAGCTCTTCTTTGACGTGCGGCCCGACTCCAACTTTGGTGGGTTCTAGGCCACTTTTGTCCTGATGTGCCGCTTCTATGTAAGCCCTCAATCTACAGGTTTTATGTCCACGCCGACGATGCTGACTTGCAGTTCCTTCTTTCCGCCCCTTTAGACCTCGTTACAGTTGCAGAGACAGCCGCCGAGCCTCCAAATGAGGAGCCCGGGCACATAAACAGCCCCGAAAAGTTGGCTCTGGAGGCCACTTTCATCAACCTCAATTTCCCTCAACAGGTCCTCAGTAGTGTAAGTCTCATTTGAAAATTCCCACAACATTCAGCCAGGTCAGATCATCATGGTCTGACACTGGGACGCGGCGATGCCACCCGTAGACGCGAAACTGCCATCCCAACCCCTTTCCGCCTTATATGTCCTCCTGAGTGCTGCTGGTACTCCTCACTTTTCCAGGGCTGTGGAAACAGTAACAGTGTCTGTCATCTTCACATGTCACCACTGTTGACAGAGTATTTATTTAAAGTCAGATGTTATGCACCACTACCGTTGGCGTGGGAAGGGGAAGAGAGGGTGGCACCGACGCTGGATAATCCATCACCACAGCAAATCGGAACGCTCCTAACCATAGTGAATCTGGTTCATTTGATTCTATCACGACCCTTCATGAGCCGACGCTTGGAAGACTTCCAGTCCTTCTCAGGACTTGCGATCAGGCTGCTATGGTTCCCTTCCATTCAGATGAGATCTGAGCTGCTCTTGCAGAAGCCGAGTACGTGCAGTGGGGACCGGATGGCCTGTGTGTGGCACGCGTAGACGGTCTACTCAGCTCGTGCCCACCTCCGACCACCTTGACATTGTCTCGCCCTCGGAGCCACTTGGGTGCGGGAGGAGAGGGCGGCGAACTTTTAAAGAAGGAGACACGATCGCTGGGACAAGAGCTTTATTAGCCTGACGTTTCGGATTCCTGCTCGAACCCATCATCAGAGACAAGAGCAGACTGCTTCCCAGGACTCGCCTCTTCACTTCTATTGGCAGAGCGACAGATCCTGTGTCAGTCTGCCTCACCATAAAGCACTTCACTCACAAGTCACCAGTTCTGTGTTTACATTTTGGGGCACTCGGCGAAAGTTTTCGCCTGCAACGATCGAACTACTGAGACTGCTGGCTTGAGTTGATCTACAGTTTTACGCGTTAGTCTATAACTGGCACGCAGGGTCGCGGATCCACGAGGATCTGACGGATGCAGGCACAGAGAAATGTGTCTAGCCGCAAATTTTATTTCCCAGCTAATATATGTATATATTGGTAGTGTTAGCACCCCCTGCTTCGTCTAGCAGGCCTCCAACTTTATTACAAAGCTGCGCGCGAGATGTTCTGCCGAAAATTGACATATGCAGTAGTAGTGGGCGCTCACCGATCGTTCATACGGAACTCACTCTTTCCGTTGTGCCCTAAGGGCTCTCTCTCGAGCCCAACCAGCAGCCGCACAGCGGCGCATGATATATAGGCAAAATGGTATTACCGACAAAGACAAGGCAGGCTGTCTCCCTTGTCTTTGTCGGTAATACCATTCTGACATATGAAAGTTAGAACCACAGCGGCGTCTCACTTAGGCGCTGACAAGCACATAAAATTAGTTCAGTAGTCGTAGCCGCCCGTCTGGAAACATTGGAGAGTGTTGTAAACCAATTTGCTAACTGACACAGCGCCTAAACTTCCGCAGTGTCTCGATTTCTTCCCCAAGTCACTAATTCAGAGGACCCCTATGTGGTTCATTAACTTGCAATTACTTCCTTCTTCATGCTTGGCGATAGTCAAAAGTCCTTTTCCCGCCAACTCACCATCGAAAGTCTATTATCTACTAGTCAGCCACTGACCTAACTTCGTTGCATTTCTGGTTAAGAGACGGAAATCCGTTGGATTTTGACTAGAAATAGTCAGACATGAAGCTACGTCGTAGTCGGTTCTCTTCTCCCCTGAGCGAACGGTAATTTCGGTCAACTAGGCTAGTTACTGCCGACGGAAAAAGGGTGCTGTTAGTGCCTGTGGTACTTGTACTTGGTACGGCAGCGATCACGCCTGATCTAGCCGGCCTCGATGATGTCCCGAACTGTACCTCTCCACGCCTGACGATCCGCGGCAGCAGATCTGTACAATTAAACCCATTTCCTTCGCCAGCGACGGAGACCCAATACCGAAGGTTCAAAAACCACGAAGTGTGTCGAGCCAGGTTTTGAGTTGGCTCCCTTTTCGACGCCTCCAATGGGGTAACGGTGCCGGATCGAGGGCATTAACACTGAGCTCTTGAGGTTGACGACGAAGAACATGCCCAAATCACCATAGTCGCATTTCTTGGATGGCGTGCGTTATCCTTGCGATGTTGTCGCAGCGAGCGCGGGCTGTCTCATTTGAGAGGAAGACGCTGAACTTCACTCGAAGGATGGTCCTTAAACAGTGGTGATCAAATACCTCCAGTTTTCGATCGTCCTCCACGCGCAAAGCCCAGCATTCACAACCGTAGAGAAGGACAGACCGGAAAGATGCATGGTACACGCAAATCTTAGTGGCGATGGAGATGTCGCGTCGGATCCATAGGCATTTTCTGAGGCTCAAGAAAACCCGTCGGGTAGCATCAATTCGGGAGACAATGTCGCCCTTGCGCCGTCCATTCGACAGCAGCCACGTCTCGAGGTATTTAAAACTGTCGACTTCTTCCAGTTCATAGCCATAAATCCCGAGAGGTGCCTCCTCCTGGTCAGGGATGCAGCCCGAAAACACTTTGGTCTTCCCAACGTTCATGGGCGAACCGACCGATTGGGCGACCTCGTTCACCCGTGATATTATAGACCCTAGACCACAAAAACTTGAAGCAATTAAGGCAATATCATCGGCATAGTCGAGATTAGCTAATCAGTGTCCGGGTGCGAACTTACTACCGTCACCTTCGTGTAGGTCCCTCCGAGAATCCAGGTAATAGTGCAGTTGAACAGAATGGACGACAGGATACGACCCAGTCGAACGCCAGACCAGATACCAAACGGTTGGGAAAGATCGTTTTGACCAGAACTCTCGCAGTGGTGGAGCGATAATAGGCCTTGATCATGGCAATGATTTTGGCGGTACACCATCTAGTACCATTATCCAGCACGATGGAGCATGATAAAAGTTCCCCTCTCTCCCTGACAGCTGGAATGTTATCGTTACTGTTTATCAAATGCCAACTAGCATATGCTTTTATTGCTCCTACTTTGATCTCCTTCCACCCCACCTCACAGGAGGCCAAGACCTACTCCTTCCCGTGCAAGAATCCTTTCATCGACGCGGACGATAAGGAGGAGGCCGAGAAGGTGGCCTCTGTTGGCTACCGCTACCGCAAATTTGATCTCGGTGGCAATATTCAGTGCGTCATTCGGTGCGAGGTGGATGCCGCTCTGCCCGACAGCGCTGGGGAGGAGCCCAAGAAGAAGAAGAAGGAGAAGTTCGCGCCGCCGCCTCGCTTTGCTTGCATCAAGGCGCTCAATGAATTCGACCATAGGGTAGGTCCCTTTGCGGTTGTCCTTGTTATGATGTGGTCCAACAGTCGACCAGAGAACCGACTGTATTGCATTTCGCAGGAGAAACTGTTGTATTGGCATGTATGATTTACCACGCGCAGACAGCACGGGTGCTAATTAAAAGCTCAGGCACTTGTTTGGCGCTTCATGACACGGGGGCGGCGAGGGGTTTGGCTCATCAGTGCGTTCCGCTTTGAGCCTTCAGTTTTTAATCTCAAAAATTAAGTCGCCTACTTGGAGTCGATCATTTGAAATGTCGCTGAGTACTTGGTTTCCTGTAGTGATACCCATCGATGCGGACGGCGTTGCAGACGCACCGTATCAAAACGGGGTCAGACTGGTTTACGGCACGCATTTATCGTGTTGTACAGAGTCCGCGCCAGCCAGCCAGCCACTGCGACACTCGCACGCATGTGAGGAGTGCGTGTGTGTGTGTACATTATGGTTAGTGTCGCTTAGTCGATGACTGACTGGCTTCCCAGCCTTTGAAGGATGTTGGCCCAGGCTAAATGCAGAGCTGCGTGTCACCCTTTTGGACCTAAGTGGTATGTAAGCACCTGTGCCATGACCAGCAAGCCCTCAGCCCTTGCAGCCCAGTGTGTGTTGGCAGTTCTTCTGACACCTGGTTCACTCCTGGTAGGATGCGATTGTTCCTCCGCTGGGTACACAGGTCGTGTGCATGGTTGCCCAGTCATCTTCGTCGTCTCTGACCCGTTTGTTGGTTAAAATCCTGGTCAAGTGCTTGTTGTGAACCCGAGGGTGTGGGGCAGTACAACTAGGTGCAGGTCCGGCCGTGACAGCCACATGCGTCCTCTCCCGCCTTCGGCCTTTTTGACAACGTCTTGACGCCGAGCTCAGATTGAAGAGGAGGAGGAGGAGAGAGTACGGTAGATGCTGCGCAGTTCTACTCATACGCAAGTCACCGTGCCTGCCTCGCGGAGCACGCGCTGGACATCGTCAGAATCGACGGTCGAACTGGCGTGTCTGTGTGGTCAAAAGGTCTGGATTCATGTGCTATGCCGGTATCGGCAAACCATGGCCCTCGTAGCCCGATATGCGCTGGCAGTTCCCTGACACCTGGTTACCTGCCGGTAGATGCACGTGCGCTCCCGCTGGGTACACAAGTGGTGGACATGGCTTCCCAGTCATCATCCTCGTCCTTCTGACCCCTGTTGGGGTGTTGTTGTTGTGGTTGGTGAAAAATCCTGGTCAAGTGTATGCTGTGGGCTAGCGGGTGTGGTGGCACGCCTAGGAGCGAGTCCGGCCGTGTCAGTTACCTGCGCCCTCCCTCGCCTCCGGTCTTCTTGACTTTGGGCCCAGGTGGCAAGTGGGGGAAGAGAGAGAGTGTGGTAGGTGCTGACAAAGTCTACCATCAGTATAGTGGTAGTAGACTTGCGCAAGTCGCCGTGCCTGCTGCACCTCGCTGCGGAGCACACGGTGGACATCGTCGGGCCCGACGGTCCAACTGTGTGTGCGTGTGGGCTCAGTCACATCACTCGCTGATTGGCAGGCTCACACACAGTTGGCTATTCTATGGGAGAGGGGCGAGAGAGTATGTGGTAGGCACCAGGGAATCCATCCCCACGGGCATCAACAGAGGAAAAGAACCGAACACTTCAAAGCTAGTAGTAATTTCTCTATTTATCCATGTTATGCTGTTGCCTGACGCTTCTGCGAAGGATTCTCAACTGGAACCCTCGTTATGAATACTTGAATACGGCCATTTTAGAAGGTGACAATGTGTCGTTTTCCGCTCAAGTTGCTAGCATTTAGCTGAAATGTCACATGCGAGACCGTGGCCAACCCAGTTTGTCGTTTGTGGATTAAGTTGTGAGAACCTCTCTCATGTTTGGTTATTTTTTTTCCTTCTGAAAACACAACCCCCTACCAGTACTGCAGCGGAGTGAATTGGCGAACCAAACTGGACGCCCAACGCGGGGCAGTCATCGCCTCGGAGTTGAAGAACAACTCCTGCAAGATATACAAGTGGACAATTGGTGCCATAATCTCCGGTGCTGACCAACTGAAGTTGGGGTATGCTTTTTTTCATTCCCAAATTGCTGTCATTATCAGAGGGCAGATTTAAGCCCCCCCTTCCGCTCGATGCAAGGTACGCTGAGCGACCAAACGTATGACATGTTGGTCGAACTTTTGAAATGCGTTTCCGATTAGGAAGGATTGATTGGGCGGCTTTGTAATACCGGTTAACATGTGGCATAATCGTATAATATTTCGGACTCGGACGGATGTCGGCTTTTGAATGCACTTCTTTTTGCCGTGTACAAACCGTACTCGGCAAAAAACGACAAGTTAAGTAGCGTGCATTTTTCACATTGGTTTTCGATGGTCTTATAAACTCAATCATATTTTATAAAAAAAACATGGACAAAAATATGCTTTTCTTCAGTCGTTTGATAGAGAGTAACATCATCTTTATATTTTATACTTGAAGAAGGATTATAATTTGGTTTTAAAAAGTTTTCTGATTCCCGAATAATTTGGAGCTTAGTGATTTCAGTCCACATGGTGCATGCGTTCCTCGTAAAGAAAATCACAATTTCTTCTATGCGTTTAAAAAGATATCATATAGAGTCCATAAAATTTTGCAATTGATGCAGACCACCTTTTACTTTTGATGGGGAGCAGTGGTAAACGGACAGTTAAGATGCCTTATGAATGGACACTGCGCGGTCTTCAAAAATCTCATGAATAGAAACTTTTTTAAAACCTAGTTACCTTTTCTTAGGTTATATAGTGTGAAAACAATGCGAGTTTCTACCAAACGAAGAATATTTTTGCGCAGGTTTTCTAGAAAATGCACTTGAGTCTATAAGACCACCGAAAACCAATGCGAAAATGCATACTACTCAAGTAGTCATTTTTACCATATGTGGTTTCTGCAGGAGGTCGTAAAGAAAGGCATTCAAAGGTCGGCATCTTGGCGAGTCAGAAATACCATACTATATGTTAAAACCGCACCTAGGTAATCTTTACTGATCGAAAACGCATTTCGGAATTCGGGTCAACATTTCATGGGATCGGTCACTCACTGTATATAGGTAAACTGTCCACATCAAGTGGACTGTTAGTGCCATAATCTCCGGTGCTGACCAACTGAAGTTGGGGTATGCTTTTTTTCCCTCCCCCATTGCAGTCATTTTCAGAGGGCAAATTTAAGCCCCTACCCGACGTAAGTTACTGTGAGTTACCGGTCTCATGCAATGTTGTCTGAAATACTGAAATGCGTTTTCGATTAGGAAGGATTACATGGTCGCGGCTGTAATACTGATTATCTTGCGGCATAATCCTATAATATTTCGGACTCGGCAGGATGTCAGCTTTGGAATACACTGCTTTCAATCTCCTGTACACACCGTGCTCGGTAAAAAGGGACGACTTAAGTAGCATGCATTTTTCTCATTGATTTTCGACGGTCTTGCAAATTCAAATATATCTTATAGGAATCATTAACAAAATATGCTTTCTTTCAGTCATTTAATAGAGAATCACGTCTTCATATTGTATACCCAAGGAAGGAGTATAATTAGGTTTTTAAAAGGTTTTCTAATTGCTGAATAATTTGGAGCCTGATCATTCGTTGCATGAGCACTTAGTGATTTCATTTTACAAGGTGCATGCGTTCCGCGTAAAGAAAATCACATCTTTTTCTGTCATTAAAAATATATCATACAGAATGTTGCATACATCAAAATGTTGCAATGGATGCGGACTATGTTGTACATTTCATGAGGAGCTGCGGTAAACGCCGACGTGCGATACTATGTAAATGGACATTGCGCGGTCTTAGAAAATGGCACAATTAGAAACTTTAAAAACCTAATTATACTCCTTCCTTGAGTATAAAGTATAAAGGAGATGTGATCCTTTATTAATTGACTGGAAGAAAGCATATTTTTGTTAATGATTTCTACAAGATATGTTTGAATTTCCAAGACCATCGAAAATCAATAAGCAAAATGCATGCTGATATCCTGTCGAGTCCGAGATATTACATAATTATGTCGCAAGATAATCAGTCTTACAGCCACGCCTAAGTAATCCTTCCTAATCGAAGACGCATTTCAGAATTTCAGCCAACATTTCATGAGACCGGTCACTCACTGTATGTGGGTACAATGTTTGCAGGCGTCTCCGAGGTGTAGAGACCGTCCAGGCAAGGTCTGCCGTCATGATCTTCAGCTGGGTGTCAGGCTGGTAGTTTTTTTCAGACCAACCCTACGCTTCCTTATGACAGGCCTGTGCTGTCAAAACGTATTCAAGCATCGCATCCCCATCACACTCGTGCAACAAGTATGCAGTAAGGTTTGCCGACCTCGGTACCGATTCGCCAGACGTATTGTGTGTGTGCGCGCGCTCGCGTTTGCACCGCGCTGCAGGTGCGGCGGACTAAAACGGGTGTCGCACTGGCTCACAGTGCGCGTTTGCCGGGCTGTGCAGCGTCCTTGCGAACTTATAACTACTGCCGTGCATGTGTGTGGTGGCACGCCTTAGAATCCTATCATTTTGTGGTCGAGGGGCGGGGAACAGTCGACAGGTGCATGGTAGAGGGAAAAAGAGGGTGATGCGGACACTGGGCAGGGATTCATTCCAACAGTGCATCGACGCACACCTCACTGTGGTGAATCTGATAGACCTTAAGGTTTGTGAGCGTCTGCAATATCATTATTCGGCAAACGCTGGCTCTCGCAGCCTGGTTTGCGTTGGCAGTTCCCTGGCACATGGCTCCGTGTCGGTAGATGCCCATGCGCTCCCGCTGAGGTTGTGAGCATGGCTGCCCAGTCATTCTCGTCTTTCTGGCCCGTTGTTGTGCTGCTGTTGGTGAGAATCCTGATCAAGTGTTTGCTGTGGGCCAGGGGGTGTGCAATGGTACGCCCAGATGCGGGCCCGGTCGTGTCAGCCACCTGCGCCCTCTTCCGCCCCCCGGTCTTCTTGACCATGTCTTGACACCGGGTCCAGGCAGCTGGGGGGGGGGGAGTGCGATAGATGCTGCGCAAGTTCACCCACTATATGCTGATTCACGCGCAAGCCACCGCGCCTGCATCACCATGCTGTGGAGCACACGATGGACATCGTCGGGCACGGCGTCGACCTGTCATGGTAAATCTAATGTGCTAAGAGTCGTGGCTGGGAAGCTCGCCGGCTGACGGGATAACTCGGTCCTCTCAGGACTGAGAGTGAGGCTGCAATGCCTCCTTAATTGGGTCCGTGTGTGGTGCCCGTAGATGAACTCTTTCGCTCCATTGAGCCCGAGTCCACTTGTAGTCGTCTTTGCACCGTTTTGCCATCGGAGCGATGTCGGTGAGAGAAGGCAGAGTGCGGTAGATGCAGTACAAGTCTGCCTCACTACAAATCCATTCATGTACAGGCCTCCGATGCTGCGCCCCACTCGGTTGGACACATGGGGGACGTCGTCGCCCCGTCGTGTCGCGCACCGGACTGGGGTTTCAGACCACTTCAGCCTCTGCATCCGATCCCATTTTCTCCTGTCGACTTGATTTGAACCATTTACGATCGTCTTATGTGTATTGATAATCGTGTATGCTGCTTGTAGGAGGAGAGAAACTGATTGATGACACGGAAGTTTGCGTGGCTGAAGTACTATGTACGCGCGAACCACTACTGCCGCTCTGGGAAAGTGACAATCCTCGCTATTTTCGACTTTTAAACAATTGGATTTTATTAGGATACTGTCTTTTTTCGTAAGAGCTGTAGTTCCACACAGTTGGCATTTAGTAGAGTGGGGCTTCTGGGGATTTTATTGGACACTCCTACTACCAGTCACACAGTCCCCTGCTGATATTGATATTTTACCTCCTCAGCCTGAATTTTGTACTGAGAGCGTGGGCAACTAGAATTTCGATTTCTCTTTGGGCGCCCTCTACCAGATGCAGTTGGCGCCCTCATTGGGGACCCGAGTTAACCCACTTTCTTGACTTGGTGATTGACAAGGTTGTTTCTGCCACCACCACCATTACCTCAGTCGTTGTTTATTTTTATCCCCGCTTTGGTTAGCTTCGTATCACGTGTCAACCCCAAAGACACTTCCCATCACGTGATCCTCGGCGTTCAGGACTTCCGACCGGTTGATTTTGCACAGCAAATTAATCTCAACATTGACAACTCATGGGGTATTCTCCGCTGTATCATCGACTACTTCATGAAGTGCGAACCCGGTCAATACCTGATGATGAAGGACCCGAACAAGGTGAGAGAGCCAGTTTCAATCTTTGTTCTGACGCACGTTATCGCAGGCTAACCCTGACCCGTTGATTTGCACTGGTCCTGTCTTTTTTGTCTGTTTTAGCCAACTCTGCAAATTTATTCGTTGCCCGCCAACGCCTTTGCGTCAGACGAGAGTGACGACTCCTCAGACGAGGAACCGGTCAAGAAGAAATAACATCCATCAAAATGGGGTCTTTCGTCTCCTGCCACCTCCCGCCCAAAATAAAGGATATTTCCACTTGACTTCCTTCCTCTGCTGTCCTAATTACAAATGCGTACTCTGATTTGAGGGTCAGTCCGCAGAGGCAAGAAGTGGGCTCCCACCCATTAAGCGCGCAGTCATTTTTTCAGTAATCAGAGGCCAGGCTGACGGGCGTAAATGGTGGCTAGCTTTGGCAACAGGCGCTTAGGGGCCGATCCGCGTGTTTGTGCGCAACGAGTCATGAGTGTCCTCGTCGGCGGTGAACGTATGTGGACAGAAGAGCCGGTATAGCCGTATTGGGGTTGTTTGCAGTTCTACTCCGAGGAATGGCACTGTTACAGGTCTCCCACCCCGTCTCGCGTGATCATGTTCACGGACTAGGCATCTTTTCATATTGACTCGGCCGCATTGCAGGTGCGGCAAGGTCAGAGCAGTTACGCGGAGTGCCGAAGTGGGGACGCCCAAGAACTCGTGGAAAGCGGTACCCTTCATGAGTCTTATCGTTCCACTAGAATTTGCTGCCGGGAAGCCTTTAACGAAAATGGGCATTCTACTCTGTCACGATTTCTGTAGTGCGC